AAAGGCCCCGCTAGGCCATGAGAGAAAGGCGACAAAGGCCGTAGCGAGGATAGCCACTAAAAGCAGTTACGGAAGGCCGGAAGAGGCGGTGAAAGAGTAGATGTAATGAATAGGTATGACACCACCACCAGTATTTGCTTAATTTGCCTTAAACATACAGCATTACGCTTTAACAAAATGCATAAATATTTACGAACGAATGACTGTATGAGCTCTCTCATGACGGGCCACATTATGCCATTTAACACAAAGACAGGGTAGTTCATGTAATGAGAAAAGCCATTACAGGCCAATTTTGCGAAGGACAATGATAGGCAGAGTTACGTAAACAATAATAGTCACACTTACCTGATGGTCACAATAGGCCAAATTGAGCAAAGGCCGTGATAGGGTGAGTAATGTGAAACCTCGATAGGCCATGTAAAGTGAAGGCCCGGCAGGCTGCAATTACATTGATAGCCTGTGCATGTTTCTATAAACTATGTGATGTGAAAGCCCCGTGTGTAAGTGACCACGATATGTCATTGTATGTGAAAAGCCATGGTAGACTGGACATGAGGAGCATGTGAGAAGTAACCACCACCAGTAGTTTGCTAAGAGTATCATACTGTACCTTGAGTATTACATGAAATAGTTTAGAGTCTGATCTTGACGTAACTCTGATGCGGAGGACGATCATGTACGTAGCAGCTTGATGGCGGATTACAGGAATTCTAAACCACCGCATTGCGTTAGAGAGGCCATTGGTTTAGGTTAAATCATAGAGGTGGTATTAGGGTTCTAACAGCGACTTAAGAAAGAGCATATACACAGATACATAAACATTCTTTAGGCTAGACTCCTGCGCACGCTTGATAGAACTTCGTCTTACTGCCGGAACACACAGAGGAAACCCATCCCCCAAAAATAGAAAATGAGCATGACCATAAGTAGAAGAGATACTCAATGTTAAGCGAAGTCCCCGATAGGCTGTGATATGTGAAGCCCACGATAGGCCGAACTTCATAAACGGTGATGGACAAACTTACCTGATGACCACCATAGCAGAGTTATGCAAAGTGCCATAATAGTCCGTGTAATGTGAAGGCCACAACAGCCGAGTAAGACCAAAGCCAATAGGTATGAGGAAACAGAATGAACCACCACCAGTAGATGCAAAAATAAACAAGCCTTGATTATAGCTTAAAGATGCCTGCTGAGTATTGAGCCAAATCTTACCTAGAACTTCAATGGGAGAATGACCGTGTATACATCAGCTTGATAGAGACTGGGTTCATAATAGCGCCAATCCAAAAGAGTGACCTGTGTAAAGATGAAGAGAGAGCCACAGTTCTCTGCATCTGCAGCCATGGAATCTAAATGATTGCATTGTAATGGAATGCAAAGGTTAGTAAAATGATCAAATGTAGTTAAGTTTTAAGCAGAAAGCATAAAAACGCTTAAGCAAAAATTATCAAATGTAGTT